CACTTGCAAGTAAGTCCCCTTGGTTGAATTTGCCACAAAGTAATCACATTTTACCTTAGTGTGTTTTCAGTTATCATTCAATAGTCTGTATTGTATCAGTTCGGTAAATTATGGTTACATAAACCATGTATGTTTGTGTGTGAACCCCACCAGAGTTTGGATCTAAATTGGGTGTCAAACTTGCAGCCAACGGGCTGGATGCATCACATATTGGCCCTGACCCCGCCCGGTTTAGCGAAGGTGGAAAAATCCCAGTACGTCATGTGATGCAGCCATGATGACGTAAGTTTGACACCCTGATCTAAATCTAGCCAAGAGACTGAGGGAAGGTTTATGTTAAATTAAATGATGTGGGAATCATTGTTTTTTCCATTCTTCTGCCTTCAAATACTGTATGTTGGGACAACTTCTAGAGTTCCCAGCAACAAATCTTTTTTTCCAAGAATAGTCATCCTAAGACTTAAGGTGATCTGGAAAAACCACATTGGGAAAAACTTGGCTAGATTTAGATCAGGGTGTCAAACTTACGTCATCATGGCGGCATCACATGACGTACCGGGATTTTTTCCCCCTTCGCTAAACCGGGCGGGGGCAGGGCCAATATGTGATGCATCCAGCTCGTTGGCTGCAAGTTTGACACCCAATTTAGATCCAAACTCGGGTGGGGTTCACACACAAACATACATGGTTTATGTAACCATAATTTACCGAACTGATACAATACAGGATATTGAATGATAATTGAAAACACACTAAGGTAAAATGTGATTACTTTGTGGCAAATTCAACCAAGGGGACTTACTTGCAAGTGAATTTAAATAGGTAGTCTAGTGGCTGCCTTGTGTGTATAACTGAAATTTCAAAAGAATGTGCCTGTTATTCCATATGTGTAGCCTTCGTCTTACTAAGCTGAAATAATTGGCTGGGATCTGAAATTCTAGAATTATACAACTGAGACACATTCGGTAAATTCAAGGTAAAATTTCAAAGCTCATTTTTATGTAAGTGAACATTTCTGTAGTAGTAAAGCCATGTAAAATCCAATGAGGTACCTTCAATTTTAATTTTGCAGTAAAGTTCATGAGAAGCCTTCAGGAACACAAATTTGTAAGAGTGTTTTCACAGCCATCCTATGTATTTTGTCCACCACCACCCCCCAAATAAAAAACAAACAAACAAGGAAGACTATTCTCTTTCAAACTGTTCAACTAAAATAGAGCATACCTTCCTGGTCTTCGTCTGCAGTTTCTCCAAGGAATCCGTGTGGGATTTAGTCCAGAAAAATCCAACGAATGGCAAGGCAGCAAGGAAATTGGAAAACATTCCACAATGAGGTTTCTGCTTGTTCTGTGGTTGGGGTCCCCACGATCGGTACCAATAAGAGAGCATCAACCCAAGAGAAAAAAACACCATCGTGGAAATAAGCACCTCCTTGTTGGCATAACTTAGCAAATCTCCACATTTTTTGTAGACATAGATAAAGGAAGCAATGCCCAGAAAAGTCCACATTGTGAGGGCTCTGTTTTTATATGTCCAAAGATGTACAAAATTGCTTAAAAGATTTTATAAAGACCAAAAAAAAAAAAAAGGCACGTATAAGAAAAGTCAAAGCACTTCAAGGCAGTTGCAGGAGCTCTGTCTTTCATGAAGAACCATTTTGTAACACAAAGCTGCCCTCCTCCACTCGGGACACTAGCCACAGTCTAAACTATGTATGCGTAACTATATACTAAACAAAACTACAGTATGCCATTTAGGGCACAGCTTTCCAACACTTGCTTGCTTAAGAATAAAGAAGGTGCTTGTTACATTTCCTAAATCAAAGGATAGTTTGAGGAAACATAGCTTTCAAGGATCCCTAGTTTGGTCTAATAAGAATACTGTAGGTGTTTATTACACAGTATAAATAGAAAGCTAGAAATTTATTCTGCCACGTTCTCTCAAAATGCCTATGTCCATAAATTGCAATAATGTATAAAGCTCATTCACCTTATCCTAATTGTATTTATGTACCACCCATTTGATTCAAAATTCCTTGTTGGTCACAAAACCCTTCCACCAATATCTGAATGCAGATACTTTGTCAAAATAATGGATGTACCTCTAGAAAAGTTACCACATATTTCTTACTGAAACAGTCTGTAGGGCTGGGCGAAGATATATATCTCTATCTATCTATAAATTTTAAGGTGCCTGACCCTTCATCCACCAAGAGTGGATGAAGCGAAAATAACCTTCTTGGTGCTTGTTTGAGAAAGTAAAATATCCAGTCAAGCCAGTATGAGAAAAGTGCTGCAGTCCAACATGATGGGTTTTCCCCTTCTTCTTCCTAAATACTTGAAAAAATCCTAAAAGAAAAAAGAGAAATGGTTTTTTTAAACAAAAAAAAAAGTAGAAGAAAGGCTGTCATTCAAACCAGGTGGAGCCAGCCCTCGATGGAAAGCATCAGGTTCGATTCCACCGGTCTCCCCCGGGCTGGTCCCATCCAGGTTCCTGACCGTGAGGGCTGGGGATGATGGAAAGGTAGTCCAAAGACGAGCCCGCATTTATAGGAATGGGTAGGAAGCAAGCCCGCACATGTCCCAGCCAGGTAGAGGCTTTAAAATAAATACCTACATCTACAGAGGACTGAATGAGAAAACGAGGTGGGGGTTTTTCTTGGCCTTTCCCCCCGTCTCCGATGCGCCCCCAAAAGCCCAAACGGGACAAGCAGAAAAAGCGATTTGCGTCTTCTGTCCGTTGCTCTAGGATGAGGTTGCGCCCCCTTCTTCTCCACCCCCACCGCCAAAACGGGAGGAGGAGAAGATCTGGGTCCCCCGTCAAGGCTGGTCTTCCTCCGCAGGGCTCGCCCCGGCTGCCAACCGCCTCCCCGCAACGAAGATGCGCCGGGCTCCCGAGGATGCTCCAGGAGAAGCCGGGCGAAAGATCGCGCTGCAGCGACCGGAGGAAGGAGGGGCGGCTCGGAGGCCATATGAGAAGGGGGGAGGAGTTTATGCTAATCGCCGCGCGCCTTCCCAGCCCCTCTGGCGCGCCACGCTCAGCCCGCCTGGCCAATCGGTGGTGCTATGCCGAGATGGCCTTATGAAGCTCCAGCCAATCGGAAGGGGAAGGAGGCGGGATTAACCGTTCCTCAGGAGCCTAGTGCGATATGACGTTGGGAGCGCGCGAGCGAGGGCTGATGGTTGCCATAGGGACGGAGACTCGCATCCCCTCTCGTGCAGCACGCAGCGAAACCCCTCAAAAGGGATTGAACTTCCCGGGGGGTCGGGATGCGCTCCTCCGAGAATCGCCTCAGTGTATTTCGGGATTTCTTAAAAGATGTTTTCCACAATATCATTGTTAGAGGAACGTGGAGGGGAGGGCCAAGAGAGAAGGATATTTATTGAAGCAATTCTCGAAAACGGCTCCACAATAGATGAAAAAAACCTCCCCCCCCCCCCTACAACGTTATTCTAGAGAAAGGGGAAGGCGCCCCTCGTTGCCTCGCAGGGAGGCTTTGACTTCATCCACGAGGAGCCAAGCTCCGGCGAATTAAACGGGGGGAAAAAACGGTTTAAGCTCCACCAATCAACTCCGCCGAGTGGTTCCAAGTCCTGCCAATCACGAGCGCGGAGGGCGGTGACGTCACTGTTGGCGGATCTCTCGCTTCGCCTGGACCTGATCGGGCCGCCGTTGCTATGGCGACCTCGGCGCGCTTGGAGCTGGGGCGCTTGGCCCAGGAAGCCGCGGCCCTGGCGGGGGTCGTCCGCGGGTCTCTCGGCCCCCATGGAGGACAAGTTCTGCTCACCCGCCCCACGGGGGAGGTCCTGCTTTCCCGAGACGGACGGCGTGTGCTGGAGGCCCTGAATGTGGACTCGCCAACGGCCAGGTAGCCACTTTCCGGTCGAATGTTTACATTAAGATTAACAAGAGTTGGAAGGGACTTGTAGGTCATCTAGTCCGACCTCCCGCCCAAACGTGTGGCCTAGGTTCTCTTTGCAGCTCGGAGAGCCTGGCCTGGGCTACGGGAGCAGGAGACAGTGGATATTATATAACCCCCCACGAAGAAAATACAGGTAACTCAAGTTACATCTGTAGATTTCTCCGTGGGTCGCCCATGAGGCCAATGATGAAAGAAGGCTCAGAGGCAGGTCTCTCTCGGGATGGGCCGACATGGAATAGAATCCGGAGGCC